TCAGTTACTGAAAATATAAGATAAATATATATTTTAATATTAAACATTAACCTGATATACTTAATGATGAAAATGAAGTACTAATAATTACTTGAGAACCCACATTGATAGGACCAACAGTTACTCTGTCATTAGATATATTACACTGATAGTTACCAGCTTCTCTCAGTCTCACTGTTACTGTCACTCTTGTAACAGATCCTGGTCCATTTACTATCACACGAGACAGTTCAGTAGATATTCTATTATTATTCCAAAAACAATTGACAGTAGTAGGAGGACCATCAGAGACATTGAAACTGAGACTGAAGACTGGAGGAGTAGCTAATCTACTAATGGAGAGGAGAGAAAACTGCATAGTAGGATCAGCATCAGGACCATCTGTAAAAGAAGTACATTAATTATAGTCTATATTCATCACATACCATTGTCATCATATCCATCGTTAGTATATGCTCCAACCACTAGTGTTTGATTCACTCCATTCTCATCAGGAATGATACACTTGTATAAACCTTCATATCCTGATAGTCCAGCACTTCTAGCTAGTGCAATCTGACCACTGAATCTCTTACTGTACACTGGTTGAGGAACTTTTGATTGCTCATCAATGGGTCCATCAAATAAAGGTACTTCAGTTCCATTAGGATAATACCACACTCCAATATTAGTAACATTGTTAGCACTCTGACACCACAAAGCATCAGTGGTATCATTAACATCATTATTATAATCAGTATTATAAAACTGGCCAGCATATATCATAGAGTAATCAGGTATTATCCTGTTCTCATAAGCTAGGTACAGTTGAACACCTAATAATTGTCATAATAATGATCACCAGGCAACATTTATTCTTCTCTTACTATTGTTAGGTAGCATAGATGGTGCTTCTATTCCTTTTACACCTTGAACTAGTGACAGTACAAGACAGGACACAATAGTAACATAACAGATACAATTTGATGACTTCATCTTGTGTCTACTGGCTACAATATGAAATGATGTGGGTCATATAAAGTTGTTTTTGTTAACTTCCTAGAACACACAACATTATGAAAGTATAAACACTGAATGCATATTTATACTGTCAATAAGTTTATCACACTCAACATTATGAGAGACTACAACAATAGTAATGATGTTTCAGAACTATAACTATGTCAAATAAAAGCAAAATTAAACAATGAAAAGTAACTATTATACTTCTAATATTGTGCAGTGAAATTCAAGGTGTATTAAATGAATCATGTATTATTGCCATAAAATAAAAAAATTTAACCATACAATTTAATTTAATAAAAGTTCAGTTTAATATGTCACAAGTTTTTGCTTAATGTCTCATCTGCCACATACTACAAACTTGTTTTCAATACATGCTGATAAATTATGACAATAATTATACTACAAAGTAATAATTAAATTCACTAAAAATAAGTAATTTATGATTAATGTTATAATATTATGCATTAGGCACTGTGTGTAAAGATTAACAGAGATAAAAATTTTCATTTAAATATTAATTTAAAAAATATCAACTAGCTACTACTGGTTGATTACATCCATTTTTGAGAGGGCACATGCTTTAATATTTGTGACACTAATTGAAATAAATTAATTGAAGAAGCAGGCAAAAGAACCAGCAGTAGTACATCAAAAATCAAAAAATGGCTCCAAAATCACATTCAATTTTTATTACATATTTTGCTTATTGATGCACATATGCAAAAAAACATTTGAGCCAATTCAGACTTCAATTTTTAAAGTTATGGCCATTTTTAAAAATTTTCAATTTTTGAAAAAAATCCTGGTACATCTATGGTTTAAAAAAAATGACTCCGAAATCACCCCCAATTTTTATTACATTTTCTAATACATATTGATGTCCTTATGCTATGTAGAAAGTTTGAGCTGATTCCGACTTCAATTTTTAAAGTTACGGCCATTTTAAGAAAATGCCAAAATTTTGAAAAATACCCTGTATTATAGCCCATGGTTTTTTCCAAAAAATGGCTCCAAAATTACCCCAAATTTTTATTACATTTTTGGATACACATTGATGTCCTTGTGCTATGCAGAAAGTTTGAGCTGATTCCGACTTCAATTTTTAAAGTTATGGCCATTTTCTGAAAAAATCCCTGTACTATAGCCCATAATTTTTTCCAAAAAATGGCTCCGAAATCACCCCAAAATTTTTTTTACATTTTCTGATACACATTGATGTCCTTATGCTATGTAGAGCATTTATAAGTAGATGGGCTTTTGTGTGATATTTGAACAACTTAAAATTTTGATCGGAATCAGTTCAAAATTGATACACAACATGAGAACATGCATATTTATCAGTACAATTAAATAATTAAATAAAATGGAATTTTTTTACTTGTCATTTTCGCTGATTAAAATAAAAGTAAAAATCCAAAACATTAGCGTTTCAAAAATCACAAAAATAAAACCAAAATATGGTATAATAAAAACATGTCAAAAATTTCTAAGCAGTGAAATTTGAATATGCCTCAAATGAATCCAAGTAGGTCAGTACAATCTGAAATATCCCTTGATATTGTTGCTAAAATACAAAAATATTAATTTTGACAATAGCTCCAGTTCAAAAAAACTAAAATGCCCCAAAAAACTAATTAATCATTAAACTTACAACAGTCTGTACACTGCCTGGTTTTTGAATACGTTGACTTTTGAGTACTTGAAATACATCAATGACTCCTTCAGTTTTACATTTATTAATTGTTGTAGCAGCTGCACAAAACATTGCTGAACGACCAACTGTATCACTATAAAGAAGGAAATTAAAATTAATATTTAAATCACATTTCTTTCTCACCTGCAGTGTACTACAATGCTTGTGTTTCCTCTTTTCCTTTGTGTTCTGTACATTTCTTCTATTACCAACAGTATAGTCTGAGGGTTAGTCACCTTTCCAGTTGAATCCCAATTTGTTATCTGATACTGTGTTACACTTTGCGCTGTAGCACCAGTCTATTATGAGTATTAATACATGTATGTGCGTACTGTTATTCATATCTTACATTATTATTAACTTCCAATTTCCTTTCAATATATCCATTATACGTTTCTTCACTCAATAGTTTAATATTGTATTCTCCTAATATTATTCCACTCGGTGTTGAAGGCCAGTACTGATAGCAAACTTCCTACAATAATCATGACAAATATCTCAATAAAATGTTCATTTATTTTACTGCTTACTTGATTGTTTTCATTTTCATGGCATAACATTACAATAGCAGTCACATTTCTATCATCAATCATCTTCCAGAAGTTTCTAGCTGTATTAAACATTGGACTCTCTGCAATTATGAATGCTTTCTTTTCTTTGAAACCCTAAAATGATAAGTATAAAATTATACTTATAATACAAGGAACTAGTGACAATGCATTACATTAATAAAAACTGCATTGATGTAATCTGGATGCTCTCCTTTAAGGGGTACTCTGTAATTATCAGCTGTGAATAAAACAAAAAATTAATGGTTTACACTCTTAATTTTTGCCTATACATACGTGGTAAGAATTGCTTTGATCTGTTCTTGTCTTTATTCTGTGATGCAATATTATGTGTCACTTCCTCTGGTCTTTGTGTTACCTGCTCCAATACCTAATAAATGAGATAATAATATCGAACCTCTCTATAATAAATAATACAATAAATTGTTCTTCGTAACAAGTC